CATTGCATTATGGGTGTGGCACACCTACGCAGAACCCCCCTGCGGTCCCCCCGCTTTTGGCACGCGAGCCAAAAAAAGGTTTGCCACCACTGGTATAGGATTCTCCTGCCAGAGCAGGGGGCTGGACTAGAAGACCTCCAAGGTCCCTTCCAGATTTTATTCTACTCTCACTTATCTATTTTTTTAAAGTATTTGTTCAAAATAAACACCTGACTCTTAATTTAACTTTATTTAAACATCCCACAAGTTTGTAAAAGCAAAACAATGACATATTCTTTGTTGGGTGTTGTGCAAAGAAAACAAAGGAAGCTTTTAGTTTGCAAAACTTTTCAAAGGTAGGATATCGTCGTATTCTTGGACTTAAAAGAGTTTCACACTGAAGGATGGACAAATATGATGCTTGAAACCCTGGCAATCAAAGGAGCGGAAAGCAAAGCCTTTCTGGAAGGGTTTGAGAGGAAGGTGCCTCTCAAGCGCTGGAAAGTACTTTTCTAATTTGTTCTAATTTGCCATTATCTGGGGCAACGTTCCCCCCCTCCCCCTTCCAGCCAACCCAATGCAGATCAACGTGCACAGGCTTTTCCTAACGTGAAGCCAGTCAAATCGGATTGATTGCTGTTTCTTTAAGACGACAATTAAACAGGGAGGAGTAAAGAGTGATGTTTTGACTGCTGGCATTTGTGGCCTCTCTCTTGGCAATGTTTCATATTCCCTTTGCTTGCGTAAGAGGTGGACTGCCTTTACTGTAGCTACTGTTGCCATGGAGAGATAGCGGGGGAGGATTCCTAGGATCCCTAAGCCTGCAAGAGATTACGTCTTAGAATTGCGCTTTGAATATAGCATGATGTGGCAGGGCAATTCAGGTGTATTGTGGCATTATAATGGGGGATGACCTGTCAGCTCTCGGGTAATGTGACTCTTAAAAAGCTGCCTAATTATTCTAGGTTACGAGAAAAAAAGTATAAAGCAATGGGTATGAATTAATTGGAAGGAAGGATCTAGGGATTATTTCTGCGGTGTTTTAGACAATGTTGCATTTCCTTTTATTTTTAAAAAGGGAGAAGTTTGCAATATTGAGATGGCTATAAATAGAAATAATTCATGGGTGAATATCTGTACGAAGGCTCGATTGCAGTTTATATCGTCACGTGAACAAACTTTAAATACCCAGGTTTGTAAGATTAATTTGCTGTAGAATTCAGAGTACAGTAAATTTTGCGTTTGCTTGTAGTCCAAGTGTTACATTGCAGCGTAGCAGTATGTAAACAGAAATATGCATTTCTGCAGTAAGAGTATAAACACTGCCTTTAGTGCAGTTAAAGTATTTTACCATCCCGAGAGTTAGTCACTGGGAGATTTTTAGCATGAATGAAAAAAATTACTGTATAGAAGAAGGCTTTGTCTGCTTTGGTAAGTTCTAGAGTTTTTTCTTTTCATTATCTCCATCAATTATTACTGGTCCAAGTGGGCATTTAAAGAAAAGCAGATATTGCTACTTTTATTTTTAAAAGATTCTGTTGGGAATATTATTTTTTCAGTCATAAATTTTGATGATTTCTTTCTCTGTAATCCTAACATATCAGTACAGTGTTTTGGAAAATGTTTATTAAGTTTACTAAATTTAAATTTATGTCTATAATTAAGATAATGTCAATATGATTTTGCCTTTAGTATTCATATTTTTCATGTTTGATAGCTTGCAAGTGTTCTGGCAACAACTTCGAGTAAATACCATATATTAAAATGATCCTATTGCAGTTGGAAAGGAATGGAAAGGAATGAGAAGTAGGAAATAAGATTGCATTATAGGTACAGAGCAATTCATAATTATTATGTGGTAATTAATTGACTGACCTCTATTTTTTCCTGGTAACTGAATTTGCAGGATAAGCATATTGGATTTTGAAAGACCAAGTGTTGATGGTCTTTACTTTCCTTCTTGCTTCAAATCTTGAGATGTAAATGCAGCACTTTGGGTAGATAGTTATGGATTGTATGGTAGAGATTATCTCACTTATGCAAATAGTCACTGATGGGGCTTGTATGTACTAAAATTACCCTGCGAAACAGTTATTAATTACCATGCGCCTTACTGATGTTTGTGTTCTTATGTAGTAGATATTTCAAACATCAGGTGGGACAAACAAGCATTTATTTTTGAATGCTTGCGCTAATATATATTTGTTCCAGCATTCTAGCCATATTATATATTTTGATAGTCTTTTTTTAAAAAAATGAAATAAATATTCAAATTGTATGAATATCCGCAACAAGATGATACTATCATAGGGTTGTAATAATTCATAGGAGGAGAAAACTGGTTATGGTGGTGTCTTAAACATTGTACAGTTAACTGAAATATATTAATAGGTAGTAGCATTTCTAAGAAAATACATTGCTTTTTTAAATAAGATATATAATCCAAATCTGTTTAAAATTTCAATTTACTCTTTTATATGGGTGCAAGTAATGATCAGTATTGATTTTGTTAGCTGTACAAAGTATAGGTTCTGTATGGCTTCTTGTGTTGGTATAACTTTCTGATTATTCTTTTTTTTTTAGCATAGTGTTGGGGAACTGTGCTGCAAACTGTAATGCTGCTTTATATTTATGTACGAGCTTTTTGTTGTTGTTCTGGTATGTCTTTCTCCAGCTTCATAAATATTGTACAACAATTGCTGTTTATAGCTATCAGATGGTTTTTTTTTCCTTTAGGGAGGCACACAGTTGTTTTACTATTAAGCTTCTTAAGGGCTTGAGGATAATTTGGTTTTTTGGGAGGGGGAATCTATTTCTCAAGTATGTTTGATTCTTAGCTTGAGTAGTAAAAAGTTACTTGGTAAATAGATCGAAATCAGAACTGTTTCCTGACCTTACAATTATTTTTAACTGCATTTTAGCTGTTATAGTCAACTGAAAGAAAAGAATAAACTGTTTCACTTTGAGGTTTCCCAGTGCAGATTTTCAGTAAATAATTCTTGGGCAACGGAAATAAAGCGTGACACATCTCCTGATTTTATTGCAAAATACCCTTATAATTTAAGGGAACCATGGAATGTTTTCATCTGTATTACGTTGTGCTCTTGAAGTGGATAGTATGATTAGAATTAGATCTCATTACAATTACATAGTTAATTGTGACGATATCCAGCACAACAGCTCAGCATTCTGGTTCATTACATATATTTTGGGCAGGTAGGAACAGCATATACTGAACGGCACCATCAAATAGCTGGCATTGTGTTCAGAAACATCTACACAGTATGTGGCATAGACCCTCCCAAAACCAGATGGGAGATTCCAGAGAAGATTGTGAAGAATAAGAGGATCCTATAGGACTTCCGGATCCAGAGAAGCAGACAGATACTGATCAATCAATCAAACATCGTGGTAATAGACAAGAACCAGCGTGACCCGACAATTGCGCAATAGACATATGCGCGCTGACAAAATAGCGGCGATTAAAACGCGATGTCAAAATCGCGACGACAAATTCGCGACGACAAAAGCACGACGACAAAAGTGCGACGCAAAAGCGCGATGACAGGCACAATAACATCGAAAAACTTTTAGGGTTAGGGTTATAACGTACGTATACGCGTCCCACTATGTTAAAGGCCCAGCACATTCACTGGGCTGTCTATAGTTTGTTGATGACGCGATTTTGTCGTCGTGCATTTGTCATCGCGCTAGTGTCGAAAATCAATTAGCGGTTTTGACGGTGCTCATTTGTCCATCGTGATTTTGTCGGCGCGCATATGTCTATTGTGCATTTGTCAGTGAACCAAGAACCAGAAGAGTGGTATTGATAGATGTAGGGGGCCAAATGACAGCAACATCAAGGAGTATGAGAATCTGGAGAAATGCTTGGGTGTGAAGGAGGAATTAGAGAGGATGTGTCAAATAAAGTCCGAAGTGATAGGAGCTCTTGGGATTGTGATTCCTAATCTGGGAGAAAGGCTCCAACAGATCCCAGAAACAACATCAGAGATCTCTGTCCAGAACAGTGCAGTGCAAGGAACAGCTAAGGTACTGAGCAGAACCCTCAAACTTCCAGGTCTCTGGAAGAGGACTTGAGAAGACACCTGACACCCATATAGGTGAGAAGGGAGGGATATGAAAAAGTCTGGAATATATTTTCAAAATAAGTAATGGAGACATATATTGAGTATACATTTGAGCCATATATTCTGGCCTTGTGGGAAATGAAGAAATGCTAACTATTTCTGAGAATTGTAAATTGGTTTATTGCATCAGGTATAAAAAATTATGCTTCTGTTTCTACTGATGGGCCAGAGAAAACTGCAAAAAATAAATCCCCATCCAAAAGAATAGAGGAAGGAGAGAGAGAGAGAGAGAGAGAGAGAGAGAATAAGCTATGTAGACATATAAAATCCTCTTGTAGCATAATGTGACCCCCAACAATTTAAAATGTGTGGGGTTCCCCCCCCCCCCGAGAAACTAGATAGTTCAGTTAAAGGCTTCCTCAAGGACATATTCTAGTGACCTCATGACCATTGCAGAGTATTCTTAGAAACTTTATAAAATGGTGTTCTTTAATCACATTCTAGGATGTTTTTTCAAATACCCTACTTAGTTATAAAAACTGGGATTTCCTTGTAGTTTCATCTAATATTAATAACTGTGCTTATCTTTTTCTTGATATGCCAAGGTCAGCTTGATGCTGCCATCTACTGTGATAGATGAAGTATATATTTGAAACTTTTTTGGTTCTATCTCTCTCCTTTGACTCACATAAATCTTATTTTATTTTGTAAAAACTCTTTTGCTTTTGATAAGCCACCCTTGTACTTGAATTATAGTTCCTTACGTTCACATATCACATTAAATTTGTTTAAAGCATGATTTATTATCAAGTCTGGGTTAGTTCTGTAGATGAGCAAAATAATGATGAATAATTTCCATTTCTGCTTTAAAGTATTTGCCTTGCATGTCTCAGGATTGATTAAAAGTTCAGACAACATACAAACAAATATCTATAAATAACCCAGGAAGTCAAAATTGCATCTCATAAACCTGTTCATACATCATGTTAAGCCTCAGGTGTTACTATTAAGTTAACAAATGCTAGCTTTACATTCGTTTTTATTGTTCTTAAATTAACAATATATTTATTGGTGCATATACATCAATTTGTGCATGATATGTAAATCAGAAAGAAACCATATTATGGCTTGGTGTGATTTATAGAAACATTGTCCTGTTCAATGGGCTAAATTTATTAAACCTTTTAATAAAATATTTTATTACCATATTTTTTTTTGCCATTTAAAATATTTTATTAAATGGTTACCTTCAACAGGAAACATGAAAACACAAGGGAAATTAGAGAAATGCAAAACACACTATGACATTACCCCATTTTAATTTGCTGATAACTATAATAAACGTATTTTATTTTATGATGCTTATTCACAGAACCTCATACTATAATACATTGGTTAATCTTCAGGTTTCCATAGGAGCTCGCCCCCCCCCATTTGAAAGCCCCCACTTTGTAGTCTGTATTGATGTATTATTCTAAGTTATTATATCTCTTGTCTTCAGTAGTAAACTTTAAGATCAGTGAACAGATGCAGCACTGCAACATTCTTTTGGCGGTTAATATGATAAAATTTAATTCCATGTGGCACCGATTTATTACATAATAAAGACCATCAACAAGGCCAAATGTTCAACTGCTGATAAAAAGACTTTTAGGCAATTTGGGTCCCAAATCATTGCAATCTTACTACAGAGATCTAAAATTGAAAGCTAGCTAGGCTTCTAAAGGTTATTTTAAGTATCATACAAAGTTCCAACTTGTGGGTAGCTCTTGTTGAGCGAAACAAGGGCCTATGGGCAGCTAATCCAAGAGTGAAAACTGGATTCTAATTGGCTTGCCTAAAACCTTATTTTTGAAATAAGATAAGGAAACCTGGGTGCAGGTAAGGAGTGGGCCAGTGGTGGGTTTTGCATCCCGGTGCAACGGGTACGGTGCAATGGGGCCGGGTGCCCACCACGTGCACAGCACGTGCATGCGTACCCACTGCCCACGACACTCCAGCTGCTCGGCGGAGCATCGCGCAGGCGCCGTATGCTCCGTGCGTATGCGCAAATGCCCCATTCGGCTCAAATAGTGGTGAGAGCGGGTGGGTGGGTGGGCCCTCTGGAACACCATACCAAAACGGTGGCTAAAATGGATTCACTTAACAACCATGGTGTTCACTTAACAATTGCAGCAACATTGTGAAATTAGGCTTGGTCACATCATGACCTGCTTATCTGCAACAATTTACTATTGTAATTCCAGGCTCAACTCCAGTCGTATGTGGAAGCTTACCTTTATTTGAATTAAGGCAAGGTGAAATCTTTCAGGCATAATCAAATATATTGTATGGTCTATTCAA